AGAATGTCAGTTTGTGGTGCTGGCTTAGAGAAAAACAGTAATCATGATGTGGGAATATTGCACCAACTGCTTTCCAGTTATGTTCCATGTCAGAACTCCAATAAATGCAAATACTTCCAGAAAATGCAAGGCTGGAAAAGACAGATTCTGACTTCAGCATACACAGCCAGCTGCAGACAAGAAAGAGTAAAGAGATTCTGGGAGAACTTGTGGGAAGGGCTGGGATACGAAACCACCCTTTATCACAAGGCTGATAAAGTTTAAATGTCATTTATGTGTCAGATAACCTGACTTTCAAACAGGACAACTGATTTTCTAACCTGACTCTTGTGACTAGTTTGGAAGTTTAGAACCTTCACAGACCTAACAAAAACTTCAAACCAACATAGTTTTGCTGCTGATGATGAAACAAATGGCACAGGGGAGCAAGAGGACACCCTAAATATATTTTTCAAGATCAGAATGCTGGATTACAACTATACAGAATAAAACCATAGGAGAAGATTACATCTAGCATACCAACAAGCAGGGACATGGAAAACAATCCTAATCACCTGAAAAACAAAAGCTTGATGTAGTGCCTTTCCTATTGATTCAAACAGACAACAGATCAGAGCCATCACATACAATCCCTAGGACATTCCACTTTGAAGGCTCCTTTATTCCACCTGACATCAGGGAAAAATTATTATCCCTTTAAAAAAATAGGATACCAAACAAAATAAAACAAACAAAAAAATTCATATTATTATTAGGTGGGTACAAAAGTAAATTCTAGTTAACCATCACTAGGCTATAACTTCCTCTGTACAATTTGCATAAAAGCCAATGATAGGCTTGTAAATGAAATAAAATGACTACAGAATAAGATGCACAGCTTTGATTCCTTGCAAGAAGAAAGTGAATAAGGTGCTTGGAAAAGTATTAAATACAGAAGAAAAAGCTCTGTTTTAACAAGGGGAAGTACCTTGTTTTTCACATTCCCTTTGGTAGTAGTTGTTCTGAGTATTCGTTAACACATGACTACAAATATTTATAAGTTTATTCATATCTCACTTTTACAAGATGTACATTCATATCATGTGATTCAACATAATACACTCCAAAAAATGGAACTCAACATGTCTGGTGAATTCATGTAGGAGCATGCTGGCATAATCAAGACCTAAAGAAAGGTTGTTTGCTTGTTTCTTTTTCTCTTCCACAATAGCAAAGGGGTACAACCTTTTAAGACAAGTTAGGTTTGAAGGTTTTTTGTTTGTTTGTTTCATTTTAGCAATCCCTGAAATGTCTGTAAATCAGACACGCTGTGAGTACATAACCAAAATAATGCTATGGTACTGCAAATCATACTGGCTGCTCATACTTCTGCAAAAGCAACAGGGTTTTAAAATATAAAAATAAATGCAAAGCATTGTCAAATTTACACTCAACATAATTAAAATAATACACATTTAGAATTTTCAAACAAAAAATAAATAAAACATCCACATACATTAATACAAAGAGATATTTGCCTGTCTTTGATGTAATTAATACATACCATAAGCCTAGATTTATGAAAGTATTGTCTTTCAATAAATATCTTCAGCTTCAAAATCTGATATTTTCTACATTCTTCAACTGATTTTAGTTATATATCAATTTTCAATATAAGGTGTATGTACTACATTACGTTTCAATTATTTATTGGAAATCAGCAAATTTACTAAAATTAGGAACCAAATTTTAGCATCAAATCCGTGTAACAGAAAGAATTTGAGGGCTATCTGGCATCATATCCCTTTTGAGAATGTCTCAAACACCAAAGCCAGTGGCCTTCCACTGACCTGGCTAGAAAAGCCAGCCAGCAAAAATAACCAATACCAAATTAGCCACAGCATTACATTGACAGGGCCCATGCTGTATCTTTTAAAGAAATGACTTAGAGATGCCATTTTACAAGCACGAGGCATAAAGCAGAAGGCTCTCTTTGCCTCTGAAGGAGAAGAGATCACATTCTGCAGCACATCGCACTTCTTTTTATTTTTTGTTTTAGTTTCCAAGCAATACCAGGCCTCCTCCAGCCCTATCACGTCTAACTGCAATCAGTAGAGATTTTCAGAGGACCAAATGAGAAGCTGTTGCCATGTTATCCTTAGCTGTTTGAAAACTTTTTTGCCATGAAAATGCTGTCACATCAGGGGCAGAAAACAACATAATGGGGTGAGAAGGTTGCTTACAGATGAAAAGTGGGGCACTTCAACCATCCTTTTTAAACGGGAACACAAAAAATTTCCAACCATATTGGCTGTGTGCACTTTATAGAGTTGTGTAAAATTAGCAGTAACAAGGACATCACCTGGACCTAATAGGTATTAGATATTATAAAAATAAACACATTTCTAAGAAAAACGTGTCATTTCTTTTTCCTATACTTTAAAAGCTTTCCTCAGACTGAAGGGGGGGGAAAAGCCTGCTATTTCCAAAGCAATAATGCCTCCAAAAACTAAAATTACCTGTTTTTAAAAAAAAAATTATTTCGCCTAGCACATTTAAACAAGCAGAAAACATGCATATTTTTCGCCACAAAAAAAAAAAAATCTATAACCTGGGCTTGCCTTAGGGACCTGGATTTCTGTACTACTACATGTCTATCTGATTTGAGTCAACAGTCCCAATGTGTCCATGTTATGTCAATTCAAAATCATGTCTTATTATTATTTTATGGGCAAATATAGGGCTAAAAGACATAGTAGATAAAGCATGCAAAGAATTGACATCTGTACACTTGGTCTGTGTGAAAAATTTATAGCAGGAGAAGTTGGAAATCAGAGTTTCCTAGCAATTTGTGCATGCTGTTGGGAACTTGGAAATTTGGTTTTAGTCTTAGCACTGACACAGCTCGGCCCCATTGAGTCATAAACAAAATTCCCACTGACATACCGGGTCAGAGAATTGGACAGTAACTTCATGTTCTGTGGAAATAACTTACAGGCACATTCTGACACTGCAAAACACATTCAATGCGCCCTTTAAAACTTTTGCTGAAGTCAGATACAGAGTTTAAATTTCAAGGAGCCCTGGCTATGTAAAAGGTCGTCTACCTCCACAAAGCTCATGTCAGATTATGATCTGGGGGATGCTGCTACATTACAAAACAAAAGTAATCATACTCAATTATGACAATGGGTGATGGAACCTGGCCCTTCATTTATATGCCTTAATTTCTACAAAAATGGGGACAATAATGGGTGAGGATTAAATAATAGACATTTATACAGTGCTTTGTAAATGAACATTATATAAGTGCTAAGTATTATGATATTAACCAAAATGTCACTATATCTATATGACGCTACAAAGCAAAAAAACTTTCAGTATAATTTTTTTCACATATTTCCAAGTCAATAAAAATGAGCCATGGAGTCAACTGTCTATTCTAGTACAAATGAATGAAGTATTTGACTTATTTGACAGTTAAAAAAACAAAACAGAATCTATTCGTAATCTGTTCTTTCCATTATAAAGGGGCCTATTTAAGGCATGATGCCTTTTTTATAGTCTTGCTTATAAACATCATTATTCATTTGGCATTCATTCAAGTTATTTTTCAAATACCATACAAATCTTCTGAAAAAGATTCTTTAGCAATCCACATATGCTAAGGATATTCTCCTCCAAGGAAATTCTGCTCAGTGGCTGATGTTCTGATGATCTTGGAAATCTCATATTCTCAAATCAAAGATTACACAAAGATCAGGCTGGATGATGGTGGACAGTAAATGAGGCTTGGCATGCCTGAGAATCTCAAACAATTATGATACTTTTAAACTTTAATAAGCACCTCAGGACCATCACTATGTTATCTTCAACCTCCAACCTACTTAAGAAAACAATTAAAAACAAAAACAAAACAAACAAACAAACAAAAAGAGACCACACATTACAGAGATGGAGTAGATGCTTTGGTCCAAATCCCAACTTGTATGGATGTCTGGAGCTCCACATGATGAATGGAGCCGCAGTGACTTACACTGAAAGAAAAGTACAGTCATATACATGGTAGGCCAGGTAGGATGCCTCATTTCTTCCCAGTGATGTAAAGACGACAAGAAGAGAAGGTCACCTGTGTGTATCATCCAAAACAAGGCAAAGCTTTTACACCCCCACTAATGCAATCAGCCCATTCAAGAAAGCAAAGCAGAACCAGTTTTGGCAACAACCCCTGCACAGTGCAGCTTTTCATTTCCTTTCACGCTAAATGAAAAGCAAGAGCAGCATGAACCACCTTGGTAGATTCCCAGCAGCACCCTGCCCCTCTCCCCAGGCTGAGCTGTGGTACCTCTTTCAAAGCATCCTAAGTTGATAAACCTTGCCACCTTCTTCCCTTCTGTGGTAGAGAGCAAGACTGTCCTTGAGACATTCATTGAAAGCATTCAGAAAAAAAAGTAAGAATGTTTCATTCTGGAAAGATGTATGATACACTACCAGCCTTGTTTCATCTTAGCAGGGAATTGAATTCATGTTGCTGCTGTATTTTGAATACCACAAAGTAAAATTTCTGAGAGAAATGTACAGGCATTTTTTTGCTCTATTTGTATCTAGTAGAACAACAAAGGCAGAATGTTATTCCTTCCCATACAATGTGGATGCATACTGCATGTGTATGCTGCAACGCTTTGAGATGGGTAGCACTTCTCAGCATCTCACTTGCATGTCTGAGAAAATTCACATCCCAACCCCACAAATTCAACAAGTTCACTCTATGGAATTATTCAAGAGTAAAAATTACTCTTTTCTGAAAGTCCTGCATTAATTTGCAGGACTGCAAAATAGTAATGTAAGCCTCTCTCAAATCCTCAGAAGAGGATTGGAAAGGCTGACAATTAGATTAGAGGTACAGATAACAAGCAGTCCCCATGATAGCTCTATGCCTTTGGTCTTCAACACCATGTATCTAATTCTCCTTCAATGGCTGTGGGTGTCCAGTACATGAAGTTACTCACTTTAGCCTAAACCATCTTTGTACTAATGTTTATTACTTTTCAGATCTGCATTTTAGAAGTGCTAGAACCACTCCAAATATTTCTCATTCTAGCCAGAATTTCATACATCATCATGAATAACATTTTACTTTCCAGACAATGTTTTGTTTCAATAAGAAATTGCTGGTTGCCTGAGATTTAGTCTGTATTGCTCAGCAACAAGTATTCATATTCTACCTTCATATTTGGCCTTGCTTTAAAAAGGTACTAGACTTTCACAGAGAGGTAAAAATGGCAGGCAACTTTTATCAGCCTCAGCAAATCCAAGACATTAACTACTTCTCACATAATAAATAGAAGGGAAGCGGCACACTTTTGACATTCCAGAAATTTTGTATGCCAGAAAATATCAAAATTTGAAGGAGAAAAGAAAAAAAAAAAACAAAACTCAAAAAAGAAGAAAAGTCTAAAAATTTTCCTAAGCATGAATTTTTGTCCTACAGTAATATTTGGATTTGATAAACATCAGCAAAAGCCAAAACTAGTAATGGATTGCTAAATGAGACATAAAAAGCAGGCCTAATAACGGTGCTATTCAGAGGATAGCCTTCCATCAACACAGACCTTGGTAGTAAAGGCAACAAAAAACTATCTTGTTAGATGAAGACAAGACCACTATTTGTACCTTCCTCTCTCCTCCCCAGCAAATTTTTTTTTTTAAAAAACCCAAACCAAATTAGAAGTGAATAACAGAAAAAAAGTAAAACTGGGGAGGAGGGTCAATAAACCCAGACACTTTGGTAATACAATTTAAAGGACTTCCCTGCTCTCCATCCTTGCTGGATTTGTAGTAGTTTCTTTGCTTAAGCATTAGTTTAATACTTGGTGTCCAAATCACAGGCAAAAATTAAAATGTCCAAATATTGAACTTGTCCTCTTCTACAGAACACTTCTCTGGGTTGTTTTAACTTGTTTGGGTTTGTTGTTGTTTTGCTTTTTTACCTAAAATAATGTGAAAGTATAATACAGATTTTTTCAGCTTGCTTCTGAGAAATATGGCACATTAAGTTGACTAGAAATCATAGTATCTACCTTTTCCCATATGTGATACATATAATTTTATCCATTCCTAGAAGACTCGGACTGTCATTTTGGCAAGGAGCTGCAATGCACCAGTCTGAGCATAAAGGATTTAAGTTATGGATCTTGCAGAATTGGTTAATAACGGAATAAGTACGGCTATTTTTTTCATCTATAATATTTACAGTATTGCACTTTACTGCACTTAATTGCATTTCACTAAAATTAATGCTGCATCAGTATTATGCCTTAAAACCATATGTCCACCTTTGTGATATAATTCATTCTTTCTACATCCTGTAAAACAGTGAGATTCTGATTCAAAGATCTAGGCATCTGGGGCAAAAAAATGAAAAATTGACCTGTTTCTATGGCACAATACATCTCTTTGAGTTCATGTAATTCTGGCAAACAGGTGCATTTCTTATTGTTCCCATCTTTCAAGTTATCACTAACAATTAGTAAGTTCTAGTCTCTCTTTTTTTCTCCTTTCAAATGACATAGCCATTTGAGGCACACACTTTTTTGTTATTGCTGCCCTTTTTTTTTTTAGGAAAGAAAAGAAGGAAAATAAAAATCTGCCTTGCCTCAGATCTGAAATTCCACATTTAAATTCAAACCAGTTCTGCAGCAGCAGCAGCTCCTCAGTGATGGAAGAGATTCATGGCAGTGAAATAATACTGTTGGCAACAAAGAAATGTCATCTTTAATGGAGACCAGCCCCAAGGATTTATTATTTATTATTATTACTATTTGTTTTGTTTAGTTTTGTTCTAATATATTTCTGATCTTCAAAACGTGTTTAGTTTGACACATGCACAAGGTAGCAAAACTGACAGCAGCAGATGACGTTATGCCGGAGCGATCACTTTTGCCAGGGTCAAAAATCCAAAGTGTCCCCAATGTTCACAGATTAACATAATTTAGAGATAGTTTCCTTTTTTTTTTTTTCCTCTTTTTGTGATTTTTTTTTTTAAACTCTCTTTTCTCTCTCCTCCCACCTACTTTGTCCTCCGAGGAGTCTCTGACTGGCGGGTGCGTGTTTGCTGCTCGCGTCTCTTGTGTGCGGGGCCCGCGGCGGGCGGAGCGTCCCCCCCGCGCCACGCGGCACCTCCCGGCCGCCGCGCCCCTGGGGCCGAGCGGGCGAGCAGAGCGGCGCTCGCACACCTCGGGGAAGGGGGAAGAAACAAAAACAAAACAAAACAAAAATAAAATAAAATAAAAACGAGATAAGGCGGCAGGGCGGCCGGAGCGCTCGCTGCTCGCCCTGCAGCCAAGGAGGAGGAGGATGAGGAGGAGCGGAGGGGCAGAGCGGCGGTCCGTGCGGGTCACACGCCCGCCCGCCGCGGGCACCCGGGGCGGGGTGTGATGGGGGGCTCGGGGGAAGCGTGTCAGAGCCCCAGGGCCTCGGCGTGCTTGCGGGCCTTCAGCCGCAGGTCGGCGATGCTGGAGTTCTTGCTGTTGCTCTTGGCGGCGGCGGCCACCACGGCGGCGGCGGAGGCGGACTCGGCCAGGGAGGCGATGGGCAGCCCGAAGGGCGGCGGCGGGAACATCAGGTAGGGCGCGTGGGCCGCCAGGTGCGGGTGCAGGTGCGGGTGCGCGTGGGCCACGCCCTCCAGCTGCAGCTGCGCCTGGACCTGGGCACAGGGAGCGGGACACACACACGGCGTCAGCGCCCAGCCCGCCGCCAGCGACACACGGCCCGCCCGCCCGGCCCCGGCCCCGGCCCCGGCCCTTCCCGGGAGCCCGGCGGGTGAAAAGAACAACTTGTGAGCGGAGTTTCCCCCGCAATCAGGGCGGCAAACCTCCGCTCCGAGGGCACAGAGACACGCTTAACCCACCTCCTGGTGGTTTTAAATATTTAAATAAATAAATAAATAAATAAATAAATGCTGTCCAACGCACGGGCGCCAACAAGTGCTAAATAGCTAATTTTTTTCTTCTTTTTTCCTTTTTTTTTTTTTTTTTTTTATTTATACCTTGCTAAAAACTCTTTGGCCGTGGGTCCCTTCTATGCCCGGCTAGTGTTTGCTTTGGAGCTTTCTAGACCTACACAAACACGTTGGGTTGACTGAGAGATTTCAGCTTCGGGTAGGTTCGGGGAGGAGTGGGGGAGAGTTTATTTATGTATTTAATTATTTTGGTCCAAATATGTCTTTTAAAAATCAATACAATTAATCTGTCAGCTCCACGTGTCTCCGAGACGGAGAAGGTGGTGGAGGGTCCCTTTGGGCTGGAGAAAAATCAATTCCCCGATTAATTGACCAAAAAAGAAGAAAAAAAAAAAGAAAAAGAAAACACTGAGGGAGGGAGAGTTACAACCGGCTAGGAGCGGGAATGGAATTTCATCGCCCTCGTCCCGGTTTTCCCCAGCGGCCTTCCCGGGGTGGCTGCGCCTCGCTGGGGCACGGACGGGGCCCCCAGTGGCGTCGGTGTCTGCGCTCCGCACTGCCCCTGTCCCCGCTGACCATCAGGGTGGCAGAGCAGGCTCCCCACCTCCGGGGTGGCCACATCCATCGGAAAAGGACAGGTCTCAACAGCGCGCCCGAGAGTGAGGAGGGGAACTCCAGCGCAAGGGTCCGCATAGTTTTCCCCCTCATGGTTTCGCCCACCCGGTGGAAGAGCCTCGTCCCGCAGCGCTCTGCGGCGCCAGGAGGAGACCAAAGCCCCCGGGGCCGCTCGGGACCGAGCCGCTCCGTGCCCGCAGAAGGCACTGCCGGGCCCACCCGCCCGGGAAGGCGATGCGGCCCCGGGAGGCCGGTCCGGTCTCGGCCCCGGGAGGCCGGTCCGGGCTGCGGGTGAGTGCCAGCCCTCAGCCCCGCCGGCGCCTCCCGGGGCCGCGGGACCCCCCGCTCAGTCCCGAGGAGCGCTGAGCTCCCGAAAGCCGGGCGGGGGCTCCTTCACCAAGTTTTACAGCCTGTTTTTAATACGTGCCAACTTCTATATAAATGGCACTTGTAAACGTGTCCGGCTTCCTCCCGTGCAAACGAATGGGGGTGGGAGTTTACTGGGGGAAAGTAAAATAAAAACGGAGCTAACTACCTGTTGGAAAGGCATCCTCAGGGCTCCCATATTCACATAGGGGGCTACTCTGCAGGCGTCTAAATGGCTGGCGGTTCCCAGGATCACACCTGCGGAGAGAGACAGGGCCGGGTGAGTGGCGAAGGCGCCCCGGGCTCCGAGGCCGCCAGCCCCCGGCCGGTCCGCACCCCTAACCCACCTTTGTGCATCTGGTTTTCCTGCTTTCGGCACTTTGCTCTCCTGTTCTGGAACCAGACCTGTTAAAAGAAAAAGCAAACAAAAACAAAACAACAAAAAAATGGAGGTGGCCTAGGCAGCTACTAAGGGAGCATTTTCTCAGGAGCTGGCGATGGAGGGGTGAGGCCAGTGGCTGCACAGCTCTGCTGAGGTCTCCCCTCGGGAGCAGCCGAGGGGATGAGCTCGACCCCAGGCACAGTGAGCCCCTCTCTGTGCTGCTGAGGGGCTGTTCGGGGGGAGGTCCTGCTCCTTGTTGTGGTCCCTTAGTTGAACCTAGGAGTAGGGAAGCGCTCTCGCAGAGGGAGAAACCGGGAGCCTGCCGCTTAGCACCGGTCCCAGAGGACCCCGTGTCCCCTGGGCAGGCAGTGGCAGTCTTTCTGCCACCCGTCTGGAGCGACACTTACAGTAAGACCACCCGCAGGACGGATGGGACCCTCGTACCCTTCCCATCATCGGGAAGAGCCAGCGTGGGCCAGGTCAAGCTGCGGGGTCTGGCTCCCAAGAGACTGGAGCTCCTGCCCTCTCCCGAGCTGGGCTTAAAATCGATGATCTCTGACAAGATGTGAGTCACTCAACTTTCGCGAAAGGATCTGAATCATTCCCCGTTCCCTAAATGTTAAAGAAAACAAAATCCGCTTCTGCAGACTTCTGGCCAGACAAGAGCAGCATCTTTTGCAGGCTGGGATGTAAAGAAGTGCTCATGCCCCTACCCGAGGAACGTCTGTAATTCGATAATGCTTCCCCAATTCCAGCCGTTCTCACTCAAACAATCGAAGAACTTTGCAGTTGCCACTGCTCTTCCCGTGCCTCTTTTCCAGGGGCATTTCAGTCTTTCATTACTTTTCCCCTTCTGCCATGCTCGATTAACAGCTCTCCCCAAAACCTCATCAGAAACGCGGGCCAAAATATTTTGCGGATCCTTATCTTTACACCAAAACCTATCGAATATGGACAAACATTGACTTTCACCGCTGACAAAATCTTGTGGCTAAGTAAACACCTACAACCTTTGATGTTCTTGCTCTTGCCAAGAGATCATACGGTTAATTAATACTAACTGCACTTCCTACATCAAATTTTCCCTTCAAGCTTTCTTCAATTGCCTTAATGATGGTCATTTACAACGGAGTAATTAGTGCAAAGAAAGGCTTCCGAAGGCATTAATTACCTCGGGTACCTCAGTGATTTTCTTAAGTAGGAATTGGCCTTCTCTGATTCAGCGCAGCATTTTTCCTGCCTAGGGTGTCTGTGGGGGAAGCGCGCAGCGGGCGACTGCGGAGCGCAGCGGGTGCGGACAGACCGACGGACGGACGGGCGGACAGACAGACAGACCCACCCGCCAGTCCTGGTTCCTGTCCCTGACGGCTGTCGCCAGCGCAGCCCTCCCCGCGCTAAGCGGGCATCGCTGCCGCCCCGCTGCCCTGCAGAGCACAGCGCGGCACAAGCCTATTTCCCCCTACCAGCAACACGCAAATATTAGCAACATGCATCGCTTCTCCTTTTAACTGGACCGTTAGGGATTTATACACATCTACAGATGTATTTGAATATGAGCATGCAAAATATTGTCGAGCTGTAGCGACAATAATACATCTTTTTTTTACTGTGGTAAATCCTTGCAGGAAATCTCCTTGTATGTATTCCCCATGCCCCCCCACCCCCGCCTCGACAAAGCAGTGTAAATTGTCAGAAGAAATTTAAGCAGCGTTTAAACAACTTCTCTTGCAAATCAGAACATCTTTCAAACAGAAATTATATTTAAATCTGGAAAACGAAGTGGTCTTTCCCTTTAGCTACGAAAAAATAAGGTTATGAGGAATAAAAGTGATGAATTAGCCACTGCATTAAGCGATAATAAATCAGGCTTGGTGTGATTCACGATCAATTCCAATTAGTCATGAATATGCTAAGTAAAGCACAGTACACTGTTTTAGACAGTTATTTCTTCATTAAGGATCACTCAGTGATTTCTTTCACAAATGCTCTAATCTGATTTCCTTTTGATTTCCATTAGAGACAGTGAATAATGACATTTAATTTAGCCCTGCACCATAAACCCAAAGATATTTGTTGTAATTGAATTACTGCCTGCTCCTCACTATGGTCTCATAACTTTCAATTATAACCCTGACAGCTGGGTGATATGAGTTTCCAGTACAACACTAAAAATAAAAGGTTAATAAGGACTAGCTACCATAGGAGCTTCAATTTATTTACAGCAAATTTCCACGCTAAATTGAAACTATATCCTTTAACAGCAAGGGACAAGAGGTTCAGATAGGAATTAGAGAACAATTCTGAAAGTATTAGGAGAAAAAAAAAAGCCAAAACCTTTCCCTTTTCTGCCTTTTTCTTTTGGTTTTTTTCTGCTTCTACTTATTGATGGATAACTCTCTTCTTATTTCTTAATTAATTATCCAGTTTTCCTCTTTTTCCTCTTTATATTTATTTTATGAATAGGAATTTTTTTAAATCCACACAAACCTCTTTTATAAAATTAATAAATATCTTTTTTTAAACATCAGTCATAATCTCTTCCTGATTTTTGGGGAGAATTTTTTTTTATTCTGTGTGTGTGTGCTGTTTTAAGATCCATAAGCACTTGAAGCACCAATTTTCCTGTAACTATGAACATCCTGTTAAGGTGCTCCTCAGTAATAAAGTACTTGAAAGAAAGAGTGCAGAATTCAATTACAAGTAATTTATTTTTATAGAAACAGTACATCAAGGCCTTGGAAAGATATTACAGAGCCCAAGTAAGAAGATCTGGGAAGATGACATAAGAGTTGATGTCCCCTTCAGCAAAAGTTTAATCTTTTCATTAATTTATATGGTGTGGTTAGATCAATCTTCCAGGAGAAAGTAGGCCAGCAGCACTCGAGCCCCTGCAATATTCCCTGCAAGCTGCCATTCCTAAGGCATATGCCCAGCACCATCCCTTGCCCTGCTCGGTTTGTACTGAGAGTCAGAGGAGCTCAGGGAAGAATACAACCTCGAAACCTTGAAAGAAGACAAAAAACTATTTTTAAAAAAAGTAAAAAAAGGAACTTAGGTACTCCATTTATTTCAGGATTTGCCTCCAGGAGACAGTTGTTTAAAGCGAGGTGGTGGCTTGCTCGGGCAAATGCTGGCTGAGCAGTGTGCTGTCAGCTTGCCTTCCACGCTGAAGGAGGGGCTCAAGCAGACCCCTCTCCCCACTCCAGCTCGGGGCTGCATTTCTCCACTTCCTGCTGTGCCTGGCAGTGAGATCAGGGCATGGAGGCCTCATCTCTGCCCACAGAGCCATACCCATGCCTACCCATGCCTACGTGTAGCTACCTGCACACTCCTATGGGCAGGTATACATATACATGGGCATCTCTCATCTCCAGGGTGTGAGGGTGTCTTGTTCAGTGCAGGGGCTGCCTTGGTGACTTTTTCTCTTCTTGAGTTTTAGTTTGGTTTGTGTCTGTTAGGCCAAGTATAGAATTTTAATCCAAGAAGAGATTTCCTTCATCTTTCTCCTGCTCTGGGTGTGCTCAGAGAGCCACAGGTTGATCTTATTTTTTCTAGGTAGATTTTTTGTTAATTATTTTTATGTTGGGTTTTTTGTTTGTTTGAGGGATTTTGTTTCTTTTAATATGACATCTGCTTATGGAAGCATTCCCTAGTTGGCTTGGGGGAAGAGGGAGTATTTTTCCTCTGCATCAAACTGAAAATCAAATTTTAAAATAATCGATGTGGAGCCACCCAAACAGACAGCTCTGGTGGCCCCAGGACTACAGCAACCCGGATCTATTTTCAAGATTTCGAAGTCTAATTGGCATTTAGCTGTCTCTGAAGTGGGATGGGAGGGACGGGGGGAACCTCCACCAGATGGGGTGGCATGCATTCATACGCTTGCTGTGCGAATCAGAGCCGGCACCTTTCCCCCGGCTCTGGCTAATCCTGTCCCTCAGCACCCAAACTGTCTAGCCTTATTCAGGCGATTGTTTTCTGGCCTTTTTCCTTTTTTTTCCCCCCCCATAATGGCCCCATAATAGAAAAAGCGAGAAGAAAATAAGGATTAAGGGAGAGTAAATGGCACGTTTGCCGGGGGGGGGGGGGGGGGGGGGGGGGACAACCAGTTGTTCAGTTATTAGAGACTTGTCAACACTATCACCAACCAACCACCTACCCCACACACATACAAAAAAAAAAAAAAAAAAAGTTTAAACCACCTTCCTAGGAAACGCTAGACACGGGCAGATATTCCCAGAGCAGAATAACTGTTTGGCAGGACAGGTACAGCAGACTTGCAAACAGCTTTCCCATCACACGTGTCACCTCTGCCTTCACCTCCCCGTTCTGCATGAAACGGGGCACTGTGCTAGGATCCGCTGGCAGTTAGGAAAGGAGGTGAGCACGTTTCCAGGAACAGAGCCTTTCTCTTACCTGAACCCTAGCTTCAGATAGTCCCAGCCTCTGGCTTAGTTCCTCCCTCATGAAGGCATCCGGATAGTGAGTCTCATCAAAAAGTCTTTCCAGCTCGTTCAGCTGCTCTAGTGTGAAATTGGTTCTGCTTCTCCTTTGTTTAAGCTTGGTCTGTCCGTCTTCATCTTCTGACTTCACATCTTCCCTCTTCTCTTTGCATTCGTAGATCCCTGCCGGGAGGGGGAAGAAGAAAACGACGCTGAGCCTCCCCTCGCACCTCTTCGAAATTCTCTCACACAGGGGTGTCCCTCCTCCCCTCTTCGTCCCCAAACTCAGCACAACTTGCGGGTGCAGCTGATGTGGGGGTAAGAGGGCCCCGGGCAGACCCCGGAGGAGCGAGGGGGGCTGAGCTCCGCTACAGGCTCCGCGCCGGGCAGGGGAGAGCTGGCCCGAGGGCCGGAGGGAGGGAGAGAGCCGCGCTGCCTTGCCTGTCTGGTGCCCTGTCAGAAAAACTATACAGATACATTTAATTTTATTTTCTTTCCAGGGTTAGGAGGAAGCCGTGCCGCTGGTACGGGCAGTTCGGGGAAGGGGGTGGTAGGAAAACCGCCGGCCCCCGATACCTCCAGGCAGTGGGAAGAGGTGGGGGATGGGGGTTTCTCCGGCGACGTTTTCTCCCAAAAAGGGTTATGCAAGAAGCTTCCTACCTCTGTCATGGTGAAGCCACAATGATAGTATTTGTCTCGTAAAAGAAACTTTCCCTGGGCTTGAGAGAGAGACCGCCCGTCTCTGTTCTCCTTAGCACCCCTCTTTCCCCCAAAATACCTGCCAGCGGGTCGAAACCCCGGGGCAGGCGGTCCCGCGGGGCCCTGTGCGGGACAGCGGGCTCCAGGGCCATGGGTCACTCGCAGCCCCTCCGAGACAGCAGGAACCCTCCCAACCTTCAGGGACTCCAGCGGGGCTCGTGGAGAGCTTGCGACCAGAGGCAGCCGCTGAGAATGCTTGTCCCGGGTACAGGGGAGGCTGTCACAGGGGAGGCTGTTCAGTTCCCCTTTCCTGTCTTGGGTAGGGAGACTTCTTTTGCTTTGGCATATTATTTCCTACGTTTTATTATTATCATTGTCTCCCCTTTTCCTTAATGTCGGGAGGCCTAAGGCACTGTCCTTCTTTCAAATCCAGCTAACGAAAAGAGGAAGAGATGCTGGAGCGAGGGAGAGCACTTTAGGCTGAACCGGTTCCCCGGGATCCCCTGCCTGCCTGGGGCACCCCGCCGGGTGCGCATCCAGCGCGGGCACCAGCGGAGTCCCGGGACGAGCCTGCCCTGACTGCCTCCTTTGTCGTGCCTCACCTTCTGGCTGGTGTGGATTTGGGGAGAGTTGCATCTGCGGATGATCCCTTTTTCCTCACCAAGTGCACAGGTATTATATACATACATGCGTATGTATACACACACAGAGAAATGTGCTCATGAACATATATTAGCCTATATACTTAGAAGCATCCCAAAATGCAAATTACAAATTGCAAATCGTAAGTTAATTAAACGTAATAAAGCGTCCTGAACTGCATCTGGGCTTAAGTCAGGCCGGACCCAAGCCGAAGCATTCGTTTTCACTTCCAGAATGAAAACTGGCCCTGGCCGTGATCGTTCCCCCGGGCTCCGGGGCTGATACTGGCTGCATAAAACTTTGGGAAGGGTCTGGCCTCCGGATGAGGAAATTCACCGGTTGGTTTTACTGGCGTTTTGTTCTCGTTTCTCCTGTAAAGGGAATCCCTATGAAAAGACGAGGGTGCTAACCCAGCAAATGCCTAGGGAAAATCAGGCGCGTTCAAAAGCTGTCTCTTTTCCGAGGCTACAGCATGTCCGTGATAGGTATAAAATATTAACTAGCATGTCGGTGGGACTGAAATCACACGCCGGAATCAGTTGAAATTAGACTGAAACCTGGCATGAATTTAAACTGTCACAAGCATCTCAGCTCTTTCCAACTCCTCCCTTCCATCCCCACCCCCAGCCCCTCTCCGTAGATTAGATTAGCTAAACATACAAGCCAGAATTTCGATTCACGGGGAAAAATGGAGAGTAGTAGAGGGGTTTTTTTCGATCCTTCTCATTCTATTTATAATTCTTGAAGCTTGCTCTGCTTTCTTTTTTTTTTTAAGAAAATCATCCTGTATCGAATGATTCCCTTAAACTGAATCTTCTCGTTTTTCAATCTCTCGACCAGAGAAGGAAAATAAGCAGAGCTGAGTGGTACTGGCTTGTGCAGAAATATGGGTGCATGAATACGGGATTATACCCCGTTCTTCTGTTTGGGGAGCAGGTAGAAACGAGAAGGATATTAAATAAGAATTTGCGCTGTAAATTAAATCTCCCGGTGTTATATTAAACAAGATCAAACAGTAGGAAACAGCTGAAAGGCTGGTTGTTGTTCCCCAACCTATTAACCGGTTTTTATTACCCCAAGCTAGCCAGTAGCTCCCCAGGCAGGTCCACCTGTCTAACTTGCCTAGAGACACTTTCTCAACTTTCTAATCCCCCCGTCCTTTTAATTCTCTCCTTCCCCTGTGAGCCTGTGCGGGATTTTTAGTTGTGTTGGTTTAAAAATATATGTGTTTTTTAATTGTCGTTGTTGTTGCTTAGAGAAGGGATGGCGTTTTCCCCTCGGTCGGCGGGGTGCCGTGCTGCCTGGCCCAGGTGAGAGGGCTGGCGGGGGACCGAGGGACCAGCCGGCCGGGTGGGCCGGTGCCTCTGTCTCACCGGGCTCCTCTCCTGCTTCTCGTCCCCGCCGGTCGGAGCCTCCGAGTAGGACAGGCTGACCGACCCAAGACAAAATGTCCAGAGCGAGCCCTCTCCCCTCCCGCTTTCTCCCAGGACAAGCAGCAGCATCCTGACGGCCCGGAAGCAGGAAGAACAGGTCTCCTAAGGCATTAAAACTCCCCGGACAAGGTTTCCTCGTACAAAAACACACAGATAGAGACAAAAACGTCTGACGTGCTGCGCTGCCCCCTTTCCCCAGGCGAGAGAACGCCTAACGCACCGGATCGATTTCGGATGTGAACGGGGGCCGGCGGGGGGGCAGGACCGAAGTTGTGACTTGTTTTTCGCGGCTACGCTCACGTTATGCATGCAGGAGTACGTGTCCCTCAGCCTGCGTTCCCGCCGCCGCGGGAGGGAGGCAGGATGCGGGAGGCGATCCCGCTCGCCCCGCCGGGGCCGGGACCGGGGCCGCGGTGACCAAGTGGCCCCCGCTGCGGAGAGCCAGGGGCGGCCGGGGAGGGGAGCGGGGCTGGCGGCGAGGAGCGCGGGGCGGAGGGCTTCCAGCCCTGCTCTTACCTTCCGCTGTCCTGCCCGTGTTGAACTCCTTCAGTTTGTCCTTGTCGCTCTCTACGTGGTCTTTGAAAAGATGCACCGGGCAATGGTTGCTGCTCTCGGTCATGTCCTGCAGGTTAGAATCAGAGTTTCCAAGCTCCCTAGAGCGAGCCAACCCACTCTCCAAAACTTCCCTGTACGTGATCGTCTCCTTCTTGTTGCCGCTGCCACTGCCGCTGCTGCTCTCTTTGCTTTTCTGGTCAAAAGATTTGGATACAAAAGCCGTAAGTTCTTCCATGGCTGCCCGGTGATCTTATCCACAGAGATCCACTTGTTTTCAATCGGAGATGTGGCCGTCCTCCGCACGCTGTTTTTGCACGTAGAAGATGGGCTGTATAGGGTTAGATCACTCCTGCTGTTATTTATGCCTTTCAATTTGAGATCACACTATTTATACATGGCTACCTCAGCCCAACCCCCAGCTCTCCCTGTCTCCAGCAATTACTGACTGCTCCATAGTCGCAGGCGGACTCCGAGCAGCTATCTCCCCCACCTCAGTCCAGCAATTGGCTTTCTTTTCATTTCATCACTCTTTGGCATCTTTGCACCTTGATTTAGGGAGGCAAAGAGGCAACAGCGAAAAAGAGGGGGGGAGAGGGAGAGAGAGAGAGAGAGGGAGACGGAGAGAGAGAGGAATAAAAGGGAGGGAGGGGGGAAGAGGAAAACATGAAAATAGGTATCTACATTCTGTAAAATGGGTTGCAGAAATGAGAGTCGAGGAAGACTTAATTGATTTTAAGGACATCCTGTGCGTGGCAACACTGTGAATAAAAACGGACCCACAGCTAACCAAATAACTGAGCTCCTGCAATTAAATGTATCGCTGTCAAGAGGAAAGGAAAATGAGTGTTCAATAAAAAAGGTAATGAATAAAAAGCCGGAGATGTGCATTTTTTTGTAATCATTGGAAATTCTACCTGATTTGCTATTTAGCTAATTTCTCTTAATTAAACGGTCAAAATAATCGGCGAAACAAAAATGCTGTTTTAAAAGTGTTGCCTGTTCTGGCTGGCGGTGGGTGGGTGGGTGCACGGAGGGGGACGTGTGCTGCAGCTAAACAAGTTGCGAGGTGCCTCGGAGGTCCGTGTCGGTGTGTTCGGAGGATTTGGAGTGGGTTGTTCGGCTGTGGGGTATCCATAGGTAGGGAGTCTCTCCAGATGTATGTGAACATTGCAGGATCTGTCTCCTTGTTTATTCTTATTATGTTGTCTGAAGGTACTGTAGGGGGAAATTAAAATCTAAAATGTTTCTCTGGATATCGAGATATCCTGCTGCATGCAGCAGAGGGATTATTTGTTAACACGGGAGTGTGTACAGGACAAATAGAGCATTAAACCTTTTTTTTTTTTTTTTTTTTTCCAACGAAACGTATCCTGCTGGATTTAACATAGAACTAGCAATAATTTCCCCACCTTGATCTTGGTAGGCTGCAGTTATTTTTGTTGTTCTCCTGGAATAATTATTATTCTGTGCGCTTGAATAGCTGCCTGAAATTCGTCTCCAGATAACAGCGCCGGCATTTCCAGCGCCTCTCCGCACCGTTTGATCCCCATGCGGAGCCGACTTCCCAGCTATTTATTTCTGCCTCTTCTCCTCGGGCTTTAACGCGAAGGGTTATTCGGTATTTGGAGGAATTTTGTCTTCTGGTCGTTTGGCTTTTTACGTCCTTCTCGTTCCCCCGCCTCGAGTTTGAGATAATCAGAGCTCATCATCACGCCACCCTCTGCTCTGAATCGCAACCAAAGCAAGCTCCTTGTTGGAGCAAGGGGCCATTGTTTCTTTTCCGGGGGAGTGTGGGACTGTTCTGAAAATTAGCAGAACATTAAAACACTAAAAATACGTTTAATTAATCCAAAGGTGCCCCCAGCACCAGAGTTAACACTTCCACAGGAGGAGGGGGAAAAATAATAATCGAGGAAGCAATTAATAAAGGGCTTAAAAAAAAAAAAATCAATCTCCTCCTGTGCGAATTTAAAATGATTATCTAGCGGACAAGGATTGATCATTTGATCTCGGCACTGCGGATATCCCTGACATTTATTATATTGTCGTGTCTCGGTGGCATCCTTCCTCCAGAGTTCGTTTAACAAGTGAGGGAGCGGAGGAAGCCTTACAACTTAACAAACAGGTCTTGTCATCGCAAACGCCAATCAAATCCGAGGCTCTAATGTATATCACACGGCACCACATAAATAATAAAGGCAAACGATAGACGGGGAAGTAACGTATGGCTGAGGAAAGATCCCGGCACGACACGCTGCTTGTGCCTCTCTCAAGCAGTCTGCGCGTGTAAGGGCTCGCAGAGGACTGTTGTGCAGGCTGGTGCGTGGTGCGAGGTGTCACGGACACGCGGGGCCACCGGCACTCACTCCCCCGTGGGAGAGGCTCCCTACCGGGGCTGGCCCCCCGCCGCGGAAACTTTCCCCATCCCTCGGCTCGAACGGCACCGATCCCCACCGTGCCCAGTCTCCCTCTGCCTCCCTCGCAGCAAGCAGCAATCAAGGATAAATATTTACTGACTCCGCGTCCCCAGCGCCGGAGAGGCACGGTGCGCGTCGGCTTCCCCGAGCTGCCGGAGTTCGCCCCAAGTCCGCCGGATCCCCTCTCTCCTCCCTGCCGCCCCCGTCCCGCTCTCCTCCCCGCAGCTCCCCCCTGCGCCCAGCCCCACGCCTGCAGCCCCGCCACGCTCCTCCCGGAGCCCCCCGGGCGCCTCCTGCCACTGCCGGGCTCCTGCCCCCGAGGACAGGGGCAAATCCAAGCCTCCTCAGACAGAGGGGGGGAAAAAGCTCTCTTGCCCGCTCCACATCCCTCCCTCCCTGCTTCCCAGCAGCTCCCGGTGGAGAGGTTGGTTCGCGCCGCTTCCCGCGACGCGCGGGGCACAGTTCGGCGGGGCAGCCCGCGGGCCACCGGGAGCCCTCGACGGCAGCAGGGAGGCCCGGGGGGAGCCTTGCAGCCCGGGGAAACTTGCCTCAGACTCGCTCCGAAAGAGAAAAGCGAAACAAAGCGCCGGAAAGGGAAAGGGAGAAAACCGGGAAAATAATAAAAACAAACAAACAAAAAAGGAGCAGTGCAAAGCTCAGCCCTCCCGGGGATCCGGCCTGCACCCCGCGCCGCGGACCCTGGCGGGGCAGGCGGCGGAGGGCGCAGAAGCTCGGGCATCGCCGGGGGCGCGCCGGGCCCCGCCGAGCAGCGCGGGGCTCTGCGGGGACGCGGGGCCCGTCCCGTCCTGGCCCCGCGGCAGCGAGCGGCGGGAGGCGGGCAGCGCCCCGGGCCCCCCTCTCTGCGCAGCCCGCGGCTTTGCGGGGACCTAGGGCGAGGTGGTGCAGGTGGGAACAAAACTGGGGGGCAATTTTGTCCCTACTACAAACTTTGACGGCGGGTTCAGAGAGGAATTACCTTTATTGCTGCTCCTGATAAATGGGCTGGGGAGGAGGGATGCAGGGAGGGATAGAGAAGGGGAGAGAGAGAAAGCGAGAGAGAGAGAGGCAGAGACAGAGAGAGAAGGAACTGCCGCCCAAACACCATTCCCTAGCAGGAGCGGAACTCCTGGGACCCTGTCGCAAACCTAAAAAGTCACCAGCGCTCCTCGGAACTTCCCTCTGCCCCCGGCTCACCGCGGCACCCTGGGTACCCCTTTGCGGTGCCACAAGCCACCCCGCTCTCCCCGAGCCCCCCTTGCAGGACCGGCCGTCCGCGGCACATTGAGGGCTGTCCCGACTGCCCGGCCTGCCGGCTCACCTGAGGGCACCATGCCCTCAAAATCCTCCTCCTCTTCCCTCCCTACTGCCCTGAGGCAACAGACAGGAGCCCTCTGCCCGTATGGGGGTCCTAAGTGGATAAAAGGGGTGGCCCGTTTGTTCTGCCCCTCTTCCTTTGCCCACCGCCGCCCCATCGGGGCTGATTCCTCCCCACGGACCCGAGCCCGCCCCCTGGCTGCCCCCTCCCCAAAGCCAGAGGGGGCATCTGCGAGCAGGGCAGCGGAGAGGAGCGCTCATTTAGCGTGGTATCAATCCCTGTGTTAGTTTTTAATTCCTCTTTCAAAGGAAGCTCTTGGCCAGTGTGGTTTTTCTCCGAGTTAAACGAGAGGAATAATCATGAATGAGTTTAAACGTTGCATTAGCTTTAAGCATTTCCGAGGCAAAGTATTGAATTTCATATTTATAGGAGGAATTTACGTTTGTACATTTACTCACGGTATGACGTAGGGCGAAACTGATTTCCTTCCACCCTCCCCCCTTCAGCTTATTTTGGTCGAAGTGGGGCAAATAAGCAAACAGAATAATCGTCGGTTTAATCCACGTTTTAATAAGCGCTGACCCGAAGAGCAAGATTTTGTTGAGTACATAACTGAGTCCTCTCTCTCTCCCTCTCGCTCCCTCCTTCCCTCTCTCTCTCGTGATTAATTCAGGGACTGTAATCATGGACATTGTGCATCAAACCTTTCTGCTCACGCTACAGACTCCTGCAGATCTTTATTGGTTTACATGAAAGCGAGTAAACATATTTCAGAGGATGCCCTTTCAATCTGGCTCCATTTCCACAGCACATAATTCCAAGGACAATTTGTTTTAATAATAAGAATGGATGCAGTGTTAATGGTTTTCAATTTGTGTTAAAAAAAAATTAAATATTTATAAGTATCGATCGAGGGTTTCAGGATTTTACAGACGTCTTAACACATTTCATAGATGGGATTTTTTTTTAATTTAGAAACCTGCGTCGTATTCTCTTTTATGCTGTTTATTGATTTAAGCAGCATCCGTGTCTCAAGCGAGAGACTAATAGATTTTCATTAAAATAGGCTCTCTTAATCCTGATTGTGAATGGATATGATTGATCCATCCAGCACACTACACATCTATAATATTAATAAAGGACATTATCATGGCAGGATTTGCTTTTCCGTCATCAGGGCACTTTTTGTTTTTTCCCCTTCCTTGCAACCTTAAAGATTTATTTGGGAGCTGTAAAATAGCCCACAGGAGGGAGACGCTTTGGGAAGAATACATTTTTATATTAGATTTTTTCTGGTGGTGGTTTTAGTGGAAAGATTTTTTTTTTTAATTTACAAACTGCTGTGGCAACATATGGTGAAAATTAAACTGTTTGCCCCGCAAATCTAATCTTAAAACATTTAGGTTGAGTTTTATTTTTAGAAAAACATTTTTAAAGGAGAGGAAAACAATCTCGTACGAAAAGTAAAATAAAGAATATTTGAAAGGCTATAGTTTAAACCAACAATAGCCTACTTCACCGGCTGACGCTGCTGGACTCGCATCGTACCTGATGAATATGTTACGAAGTGGTCGGGACAGCAGCGGCTACAGTAATTAATGGAGTGTGACAGAAATGCTAAGGGCTTAATTGTCTTTATTCCGACTTGTAGTAACGCAACCAAAGGGATACATTAATTCAGTACAAAAACACATAAATGCTCTCCTCTCTCCTCGACCAAGGTACAAGCAAACACACGCGCTCACACACGCACATCTCTTCTATATCACATTATTATTTTTTTAATATATATAAAGCTGTGTCTTTCCAGCAACATTAATTACTCATACATTCATTACAGGGAGCCTAGACGTGTTCAAATCCTCATCTACTTTTACTTCTGCAAAATTAAACATTC